CCCCCACCCCCCAACAACAATAACAACAACAACCAAACAAGAAAACAGGCAATCAACCCCCCCCAAAAAAAAACCAAAAACAACAACAACCAAACAACCTCCTCAAAAAACCACAACAAACCCATTCACCAATTTCTTACAAGATTAATGTGAAAAAACAATTAAAAATTATACCATCACTGTCTAGTCGGAAGGAGGGCGGTTGTGATGATTTCACTCTCGTCTTGTGAGTCTGGGACTTTCCTTTAGCGGACTTCATGGCTGCACGTGGCCGTACCGCGGGTTTCTTCACAAACTCCGCCGGGCTGTCAGACTCGAGCAGCTGGCCTCTCAAACTACCATGGGGGGATCCTCCAATTGGAGTGATCAGTTCATCTGAGGACCAGGAACATCTTCACTGTCAAGTTTTGAGTTGTAATGCTTAATAAACAAGACCCCTTTATCACAATGTGAGCAGGCCGAATGATTTAATGATCAAAATAAAATAAAAAATATATTGCAATCTCAATTTCTCCACAAAAACACTAATAACAGCAACCCAGATACAAGCAACTTTCACTCAAGAAAAACCTAGGCTGGGGTAACATAATTTTTTCTACACGAGTACCCCTCTTTACCAGCAACCTTTTCCTCTGGCAGCAATATTTATTGCAATAAATTGTCCAATAAACATTATTTTTACAAGATTAACAAAACTGTGAACATTGACACAGGCCTACAATTTCAGTGGGTGTGTATCCCTCCTCTCCAGTTTGTCTCCTTGAAATAACAGCCTGAGTAAAAAAATCCACTGGGCTGAATACAGGTGCTAAGTCAACACCCTCTCACCAAGAGGTACCCTCTTTAAACTTCAAGAGAGCTGAAAAGTCTCGGCCACTGTGCATGGCATTACCTCCGATGCTCGAACACAGCCTAAGTCCTAACCTGACAAACAAAAGTCACCAAATCCAGCGATTTGGACCCAAGTGCATGTGTGTGTATGGGTGTGGGGGAAGGGGAAGGGGTCATCATTATCTTTGGAAGTTAATTACAGCCATCCCCCCCTGAAAATTCAGTTAGATGCAATGTCCGCCTTCTAACACTAACATCAACCAAGAACTGCTTCCCAAGGGGATTGCTGTTAACTGTTAGGGGGACACCACTGTTAACTCTCTTCCAACATAAGTTACATGTTTATTATATTTTTGAACATCACAATCACATAAAAAAAAAAAATACAAAGCATGAACATCAGGTGCTACCAAAAGAACAATGAAAAAAATATAGTAAAACAGTTACTCATGTTAATAAATCTGACATAATGATTCATAAAACTAGACACAAAACAAGAAAAATTACCAATATCACTGTCATCAGACAAGTATTGATCCATCTGTCTAAACAACAGAAATGTGAATAAGAAACAGTCTATTTGCTTCCCCTGAATTTTGCAGAACACTCTGAAAATAAAAAGATATACATAAATATATATATAACAAAACACAGCCTAAAAAGTTAATTGAACTCTCCACTGATTTTGGGACATGGAATATGATTTTTAATATTAAATTTCTAAAGACAAGAAATTGAAGTGCAATTAATTTTCATAATAATATAATATCCTTACGACACAAAAAATGGAATCAGGCGCTTGTCAATTTATGGGCCTACAGAGTTACTGAATTGGTATCATCTTAAGGTTGGTTTATTTTTGCCCTGCTTTTGATCAAGAAAATGTCCATCTTTTTTAAACAGAAGTTGAGATAAAATTGTGATTGAAGGAGGTGAGGTGCGAGACGTCTGATCTCAGAGGTAAAAATTAGCTAGAAAATTGCCTCCAAAGTTTGATCATCTCCAAAGCTTGAGTGTTCTTGGAAATTGCAATTTACATTTTTTTGGTGCCTTTACACATTGTTCAATAAAATCCACACATAGGACTAAATGTATGTGTTTTTGAAAAGACATAAAATTTTTTTAAAAGGTGCTCATGAAAAATAAATAGATACAATTAGCTCAACGAGTGGAAAAATGCAGATTTCTTAGATTTCAATCAGTATTATTATTATTTTGATGAGCGCCTCATTTCACACTAAATAATACTACAGTATACTGTAGGCGTACTACTCTACTATACTATACTGAAAATGTTCACTGGGGCCTGCTCATATGACTGCATGCAGTTGTCATCATCATTGCCTTTTTCACCCTGGGGCACCTGAATAGGCCATGAACAAACACTTTCCACCTTTCCCTATCCTGGGCGAGTCGCTTCATGTCACTCCATGATCCATGTCATCTCACTTTTCTGTACATCCATTTCTGTGACTCTTCTCCAGGTTCCACCTGGTCTTCCCCTTGATCTTTTACCCTGTCGGTTCCAATTTAACACTTTCCTTGTTATGCAGCTGCTTGACTTCCTGAAAGTGTGTCCAGTCCATCGGTAACGCCTTTTCCCCTCATCATCTCTTACTAGGCTCTGTCTTGTTGATCTTGTCTGTCCTCGTCCTCAGTAGGTTCCTCAGACACTTGTTCAAGAAAACCTGGATCCTCTTTATGCACGTCTGAGATGTGTTCCATGTCTCACATCCACACAACAGGACTGACTTCATATTTGACTTGAAAATCCTCAGCTTTGTTCATAGTGAGACATCCCTGGTCCTCCAAATCCTGTTCAAAGAAAAAAATGCAGTCTGTGCCTTTCCAATACCGAACTTTATTTCAGCGCCTGTTCCTCTCTCTGATTCAAATATACTCCCAAGATAGCATGAGAAGGATTCGACGTCTTCTAGTGCATTTCCTTCTACTGTGACACCTGCTCCTTTCGTAGTGCATATATATCTATCTTGAAGACTTTTGACTTTCCGAGGTGGATCCTCAATCCAACAGATTCTGATAGGCTGTTTAAAACAAAATTGTGGTCTTTACTTGCATCTGTTCCTGAGTGTGTGACAGCAGCGTCAAGTCATCTGCAAAATCCAGATCGTCCAACTGTGTCCATGGGGTCCACTGTATGCCGGGCATGCAGTTGTATGAGTGACGTAAAACTTTCACTAAACTAACTGAACTGTGAAGATAACAGTCCAACTCATTGAGTATGACAGTGTACGAGCGGAAAGAAGTAAGGACTTTTTAACCCTATCCGTACGTCGTGTTTCGCTATTGTTACATGTTACATGTATCCAGATCCATACGACGCGAGGAACTCTGTGCCACCACATTCCAAAGAGGAAATTTAGTCGATCCAATCCGTACGCTTTGCATAGCAGTATTAGCAGTATAATGTCAAAATGATTTTTGAGAAATATCGAAAGTTTCAAAGAGATATTCGAACTAGATTCTAGATCTAGATTCTAGAATCTGGAAGTATTCTAATAAAAAAGTGAAGAATACAAC